GAATTAACACAGGCACATTAGTCTACCATGTTACAATGGTCCTACTAAACGCAAACCCGGTGTGATGGCATGTTGCTGGAGGATGCAGTGGTAGCCATGCTGCTTCCGTGTGTGCCTTCACTTTTGAATAAATCCCCAACAGTGTCACCAGCAGAGAACCCCCACCATCACACCACCTCCTTCATGCTTCACGGTGGGAACCATGGATGTAGAGACATCCATTCACCTTTTCTGTGTCACACAAAGACATGGCAAGTAGATCCAAAGATATCAAATTTGGACTAAAGCATGGATTTCCACTGGTCTAATGTCCATTCCTTTTATTTCTTGGCCCAAACAAATCTCTTCTGCTTGTTCCTTTTTTTTTAAGTAGTTTCTTGACCATTAATTCCCGTATTCGCACAGTCTCCTCTAAACAGTTGATGTAGAGGTATGTCTGCTACTGGAACTCTGTGCATTTATCTGGGCTCTAGTTTGAGGTGCTGTTAACTTGGAATTTCTGAGGCTGGTGACTCGGACGACTTTATTTAGCAGCAGAGGTGACCCTTGGTCTTCCTTTCCTGGAGCGCTCCTCATGCGAGCCACTTTCACTCTAGCATCTGATGGTTTTTGCGACTGCACTTAGGGACACATTCAAAATTGTAGCATTTTTCCAGACTGACTGACCTTCAGTTCTTTAAGTAATGATCGACTGTCTTTACGTAGCTGATTGGTTCTTAATATGAATTCTAACAGTTGTCAAATAGGGCTGTCAGCTGTGTACAAACCTCGACTGCGCAACACAGCTGAGGTTCTCGAGCCCATTAAGAAGGCAAGAACCCCGACAAGGCACACGTGAAGTGAAAACCATTTCACGTGACAACATCATAAAGTTCATTGAGAGAAGGCCAAGAGTTTGTAGCACTGTCAACAAAGCAAAGGGTCGCTATTTTCAGGAATCTAAACTAAAAGTTATTCAACAATGGTTTCTTTGTTACAAAATTCCATGTATTTTGTTTCATATATTTGATGTCTTCAGTATGTATCTACTGTAGAAAGTAGTAAAAGTAAAGAAAAAAAAACATTAAATGAGACGGTGTCCACACTTGTGACTGGTGGTGTATCTATATGTAAAATGGAACTATGGAGGTGCCTTATTTCTAAACAAGAAATTTCATAATGGTATCACTTTCAAGTCTTTATAAAAGATTTCACCTAAATATGACAGTCAGACTGGTCTTTACTTTATTATCAAAAAATAGAAACTTGATGTGTTTCACATCCTTTACTGTCGTTCACATTTTCTGCAATTGAAAGTGATGCATTTATTGTGATGGATTTTTGTTTAAAAGAGAAAATGCAAGCTGGTGTTGCTCTCTATACCTTGTAAAATGACACTAGTTTTTGTGGAAGTTGTCGACTGATGGGTTGTACTTACTGTAATGCATTACTCAAGAAGCAGTGCAGTATTTACTGCTGATAAAGTCGTCTACTTCAGAGTGGGTTTTTTTCTTTTTAACCACAAAACAGACAAAGCAGTATATCAAAGAAAGATGAGCTCTAGTGTTTACAGTGTTTTGGTTAAGGCAGCCAAAGTATTACCATCATACCAAATCTTACACACTTTTTTTTTTTTTTTTTCAATTCACATAACCTAATTTAGGAAATAGTGCTAAGCACCTCTGTCGCCTATTGTACCACATTAAAAAGATTTGAACCTTGTGGTTGCCTGGGTCGTTGCTGTGTGGAGTTTGCATGTCATCTCTGGGCACTCTGGCTTGCTGACACAAGTTATTGGTGATCTTAAATTAACCATTTGGACTGGTGACTTGTCCAGGGCGTGGCCTGGTTAAGAACATGAATAATTTGGAAAAGTTTTCAAATATGGGATACTATGGACTCTCCCTGAACTGTTATTATATCATTACATCTGGAACAAACAGACATTCAAAATGCTAATTAGCATTTTGAAAGTCAAAGGTTGCTGAGATCACATTACTCAAAGAGTTATTTTGGATTTTAAGAGTCAACTTCACTCTGACATAATTGTCTACAAAACATTCTTTTTGATTCATTTCCTTAAATCAGATTTGTAAATACATACAAAGGGTGATTTCATACAAATGTCTCTTTTATTTTTTATTAATATAATAAAATTTTTTTGCAGCGAAACAGCTGATTATGACTCTTCTAAAGACTGAGCCCACCCAAAGGTTGACCATCACAGAGTTCATGAATCATCCCTGGATCAATGTAAGCACGCAAGTTAACTTCTGCTTAAACAGCTTACTAAATTTTATGTATTTGATCTTTTATTTACCCCTTTGGTTAAAATCATGAGTGTTTTTCACCATTTTATATATATGTATGTATATGTGTGTATATGTATATGTGTGTGTGTGTGTGTGTGTATGTGTGTATATGTGTGTGTATAAATAAAAATATATATAAATAAATAAAAGTAAGAATGAATTTGCCTCTGTGTGTCATCCTAAAGCAATCAATGGAGGTTCCCCAGACCCCCCTTCACACCAGCCGGGTTCTGATGGAAGAGAAGGACGCATGGGAGGAAGTCAAGGTAAAAGATGCCTGCTTATCGTTGCACCATCCATATGTTGTCAGCTTTTATGGTGACAAATAGTCAAATAGAAAAATTACTTAATGTGAAAGTTGACACCTACTACCTGTTGCGGTTTCAGTTGTTTGATAATTGCAAAAATCCATTTGCATTTAAGAGTTCTTGGGGGGGGGGTTTCCGTGCAAAAATAAATTGTGTTCCAAGCAAACATTTTAAATAGCTCATGAATATCAGAATCCAGAATTAAACATGGAAAGTTGTATTTTTTCGTCATTTATTTATGAATCTGAAAACACAAACTGCAAGTTTCTTGTGTAAGCAAAAACAAATGAGTACTTGATGTGCTGTACTGGGAATGCTTGCAGCTAATATACTGGAACATCTGTGCTACCTGAACCGGTGTAACCACAAGCTTCAGCGGAACTGTATTTTTTTTTCTTCTCTTCCTCTAACACAGTGTCTGGTGAAAATAGTTATATTAATCACATTAGTTTTCATTCATGTGAACGGAAACTTTAACAAGGAAAAAAATTGCAATGTTGTCATTGAGACTGAGCAGCTTTACCAACCCAGCGTGTGGATCTAGGGCAGTGTGTGGAAAACAAGTAGTCTACCTAAAAGGAAAAACAAATCAACTTTTGGAATCATGTCATGATTTTTGTTTATTAATCTATTATTTCTACTTGAGTGTGTTTGCAACAGGCTCACCAAGTAAAACAGATGAAGTTATCAGTAGCTTGTTGGTCGCTGGTAATTTGAATGGATTAAATATCAAAATCTGGTGTGAGGGTATTTTGTCTGTGTTGGATTTAAAAATTAAAAACTCCCAGTAGTAGCTTCACATCAAGTGCATGCCAGGCTCTGGCACCTGCTTTGCTTATTTGATAAACCAAATAGTTTAAATGTATGTCTCCCATTAAAACCACAGATTTTGATAAGTAAATAAAACTAATGGCCTTGTTTTGTTTCTCAATTTAACAGGAAGAAATGACTAGTGCCTTGGCAACAATGAGGGTCGACTACGAGCAAATCAGAATTAAGACCATCGAGGACTCGACCAATCCACTGCTAATGAAAAGGAGGAAGAAGGCAAATAACGCCGTGGCTACACCTGCTGCTCACTGAAAGATGCATGCATGCCTGCCTTCACATACAAACACAGGTTGTGAAAAGGAAGCAATAAGTTGTCGACACGTGAGTCGGGTTGCATGGATTTTTCTTTCTTTCTTTTTTTCTCAGTGTTTTATTTTTCATGACAAATTGTAATGTTTTGTAAGAGTGTTTGTTTTTATTACTCTACCATTTTAACAACTCATCGCTCTGCAACAGCAGAGGGGATGTTGATCTGTGTTTTTACACCACTGAAGAGATTATGAAATTTAGAAAAGGGGAGAATGGGGAACTGACACATCCTCTTGCCTCTTCTTTCCTAAATATCAGGTTGTGTACTCACAGGGGCTCGAATGTTGGAATAGGAGATGTACGCCTTAGCATTAGCAGTAGTGATTTTACACCCCCCCACAAGCCTGCTCCAGCTCAAGCCCCAAACCTTTGAATGTTAACTCTGATGGCTAAATCCCAAAAATGAAAAAACAAAAAAACACAGACACACAAGGGAAGGTTTAGTTTTTCTTACATGCAAAATAAGCAGATGTATTTTGAACTGACAAGTGGAATGTAAAGACTCTGTCCTCGATTGTTGGAATCAGCTAGAAGTAAGCTGCTGATTCCCGGGACTCGGAGTGTGTGTCAGGTTCAGTTTGTCTTTGTGAATGTTGAACACAGGCCTATGCACTCACACAGGGGCCGTTCTGACAGAGCACCTCACTCATGGCCCCTCTCTCCTATCTTTATCTACGCTTGTTTTTCAGGTACACAATTTTAGGGCAGAGAGGGAAGCCAGATTAAAATACAGAAACTGGCCCGTCTTTCTCCTGCATGTAGCTCATAGGAGAGTTGGAGGCAGCCTATACTGTACTTTTTATGAATTCTATAAACGTTTTAGCATAGGCCTTAATGAGTACTGCTAAATCAGCAAATGGCTTTTAACTCAAACTTACCATTTGGTTCAAGCTTTTACCAATGTTTTGCTTCAGAATTTAAAACGTTGCCAGATTATATTTCAGGTTAATGCTATGCAGATGTTTTTTTGTCATCAAATTACGAGTGATTTCTGTTTGTACATGTGTTGAAGAGATGTTGAGCAACTGTAGGGAGTGTTCCCGTGTTTTATGTAAGCAGTAGCATCCCCTTGGGAGTACAGAGGGCACACTGGTCATTTCCAGTTACTGTTGGTTGCACCAGGGTTAGTCAGGATATACTCAACTTGACTAATCTAGTGCAGTTCCATTATCATCTGTCAGTTCTTCACAATTCCTCGGAAACTGATAGGTTAGAAAGTACGTAGTAGCTGCTCCTCATCCTTGTGCACAGTCTGATTTACCACCAGCAAGCTGTCATCACATTCAGAGAAAGTATAATGGTCTCTCCTTCTGTAGTGTTTTGTTAATGCAACAGGACACTTCCCAGCTCACTTTGGGAATCATGGGAATATTATTGTATAATTTTGTCAGTTTAGGCCACTTCACTTTGTAAGATCACTTCCACTTTACTTGTCATATCGCACCTAGAAATTTCTTACAGGAAAAATGTTCATGAAATGTTTGTGACAATGTTTATTTTTTATTTTTTGTCCCTCTCAACACATTTTTGTAGTGGAAACACAGATGTGTCTTGGAATCTGTTCAGCTCCCGTACATTTGTCTGCTTCAGCTTTGGATTAAAAAAAACAACAACCATAAAACACCAACTTTCTCTTATCTCTTCTTTTATAGAAAAAAAACAGGATCTGTGTGTGAATGCCTGTGTTTCTGTATAGTATGGATTCAAGATCTCATCACAAAGCCAAGACTTTGAGCTCTAAAACCCTTTTCCGGTGCCCTCAAA